CTATCACCATCTCTCCTACCCATTTCCCCCACCGCCCCCCCCCCCCCTCCCACCTGCCAGCCTCATACTCCTCCCTGTATTTATTTCTGGGATCCCCTCCCCCTCCCCATTCCTGACAAAGGGTTTCAGCCTGAAATGTTGACTTACCTGCTCCTCAGATGCTGTCTGACCTGCTGTGCTTTTACAGCCTCTCAGCTATAGACTCTGGCTTCCAGCATCTGTAAGTCCTTATTGTCGCCAGATAAACAGCTTTGTTCACAGCTTATTCTAATCTTAATCCATTTTACTTTGTTGCTAATTTCTGTTGTTTGATTTTCTTTACTGTTCAATCTTGTATAGAAAAGATGTAGTGTTAATTTGGAATAATTCTTTGTCAATAGGATGCTAGGGATGATGTTGGTGGAGCACAAAATGCTGGGATGTTGGGGATTTTGGTAAAAACTGGTAAGTATGTTACTTGCAAAACTCCCAGTGAATGTTTTATTTTGCTCTTCCTGCCCATTCAAACCAATTCTGTGAAAAGGACTAACATCTTGCCCTCTGGATTCTGAATCCTTTCTATATGTTTATCTAGGTTTATATGTTGCCTGTGTTGTCTTTCAATTATATTATGAAATTGCTCATAAAAACAAGTTACATCTTCACAATGACATTATTGCTTACTGTTATTTAAGAAGGATGGTAGGGATAAACCAGGAAGCAACAGTCCAGTGATGGAAAAACAGCTGGCAAAAAATTTGCAGGAACAGAATTAATGTATGCTTGGAGAGGCAAGGTTAATAAAGATGGGTCTAGAATAGTCAAGATGGCTTTGTTAGGGGGATATCACATCTAACAAATTTGATTGAGTTCTTCAAGGATCTGACTAGGTGTGTAGATGAGGATATTACAGTTGGTGTACTCTACATGGACTTCAGTAAGGCTTTTGACAAGATCTTGCATGGCAGACAGGTTGAGAAGCTAAGAGCCCACAGATCCAGGGAAATTTGGCAAATTTGGTCCAAAATTGGTTTAGTGGCATGAAGCAGAGGGTAATGGTTGAAGATTATTTGTTTTTATGCCAAAAGCCTGTGTCCAGTGGCATACTACAGGGGTGCTGGGTTCCTTGCTGTTTGTTGTATACATTAATGATCCAGACTTGGCCATAGCAAGCATGATCAGTAAGTTTTCAGAGTATATGAAAATTTATGAGAAGGAAGGCCTTAGATTATAGGATGATTTAAACATTTGAAATGAGCAGGACAGGTTAAGAAAGCTTATGGGATACTTGCCTTTATTAGTCAAGGCATTGAATACAAGAACAAAGCGGTTACGAGGGAGATATATATAATGTTTGTTAGCCTGTGGCTGTAGTATGGTGTGCAGTTCTGGTTGCCACATCATAGAAAAGATCTGATCACACTAGAGAGAGTGCAGAGGATCAGGATGTTGCCTGGGCTGAATGATTCACCTATGAAGAGAGCCTAAATGACTGGGATTATTTTCCCTAGAGCAGAGAAAGCTCAGATGATTGAGGTACAAAATTCTGAGGGGCATAGATGGGGATCTGTGCCCCCTTATTTATTGATTCTTCTACTAAACAGAAAAGTAAGGATCAGGATGTTTAGAGGTAATTTGAGGAAAACATTTTTCACCCGGAGGATTGTGGCTTTCTGAATGTCACTGTCTGAAAAGATAATAGAGGTGGGAACCCTCAAAACGTTAAATTTTAAAATGAGCACTTGAAACATCTTAGCATTCAACATTATGGGTTCAGTGCTGGAAAATGGGATTAGGACAGAAAGGTATGACCACCAACATGGACACGATGGGCCAATGTCCTTTTCCCATGCCATAAAAGCTCTATGATTCCATGATATTGAACTACTTCAAAAAATTTGTAATCAACAAGTGAATTCTCTGTTGCTAGTTCATAAAAGCTATTTGCAAAAAAGGAAAATCAGTCTTTGATGTATCCCTGACACTCATCTCACTGTTGCTTATTTCCTTCAGGAAAATACCAACCTGGAGATGGAGGAAAAATAAACCCTCCTCCATATTTGATATGCGATGCTTTTCCACAGGCTGTTGACCACATTCTAAAGAAACTACTGTAAAAACTCATAATATGGATACATCTTGGGCATGTACTACTAAAGATCACCAAACAACTTCAGGTCATTGTCAAAAGACAGAATTTCAAAATTTCATGGTTTGAAATTCTGTCAAACACGAAGCAAAGTACACAGAATTTTGCACAGTTACGTTTGTGAAGGATCAAACTGATGTGTAGTGGTATTTCAATACCTATGGTCCTGGAAAAATGTCGAAATAGTTTTAGAAGAAGGCTGTTATTTAGCTAAGAACCACGAGCCTAATCTTCTCATTGGAACAAGTGTCTATTACCTAAATGCATCTGGTATGCTTGACTGTTTCCAAAGCTTATAACTACATCTCTAACCCAGTGCTCACTTGTCTTTGTAATGTCTGCTTAATCTGAAATATATGGTCCCCTGTAGGACATCTGAGGTTGCAGAGCCATAATTTATCTATTAATAGTACAGACCAATCTCTTCACTTTCCTCTGGGCTGTTAAACATGTACCTGTATGTCTTAGCAACTAAAGTCTTTCAAAGATCTTTGACATACATTCAAATAATACCTTTGTAAATAGACTCCAAATGACTCTCTGATGATACCTGGTATTTTATTCACTTATTTACAGGTACACATTTTTTGAACAAAGTTATATCAAGTCATCGAACATACCAGGTTCTCTTCAGCTTTCCCTTGTTTCTGTTTCAATAAAAACCAAAAGAACTGCGGATGCTGTAAATCAGGAACAAAAACAAAGTTGCTGGAAAAGCTCAGCAGGTCTGGCAGCATCTGTGGAGGAGAAAACAGAGTTAATGTTTCGGGTCCGGTGACCCTTCCTCAGAACTGAAATGCCTCTGGCATAGAGTTTAGGGGCATTTCCACTGTGCCACAAGGGCCTGAGAGGAAGTGGCATTTAAATGTTCTGAGGAAGGGTCACCGGACCCGAAACATTAATTCTGTTTTCTCCTCCACAGATGCTGCCAGACCTGCTGAGCTTTTCCAGCAACTTTGTTTTTGTTCATTGTTTCAAGCTTGCAATGTTTATGTCTACTAATTTTACTTTCAATATGCAAGTACAGAAGCTTGCATTTATTTGTATTGCACCATTTGCTAATGAAGCTGATAGATATTCTCTCAATTTTCTGTAATATCTTGCTTACTTTCTCACTGCTGCAAATTTTGAGACAGATACAAACTAAATATTGCAATGAGTCCAACCATTTATTTAGATTAGAAATGAGTGTCAGCAGGGCACCCTTACACACCCCATTCAATTACCAGCCCATTTTGACTTGACGAGCCACTGTCCATAATAAACTACTTGCTGAGTTCAGACTGACAAATCTGTAATTTCCAGATCTGGTTGTGTCATCTTTTTGGAAAATGGAAACTGGTCTAGAAATTCTGCTTTGGCAAATTCCGACAGTCACACCAGAATTGTAGCTGTTATGATTCTCTACTAATGATCTTGCCAAAATTTAAAAGGTTCTTGGAACTGGCATTGGTTGGTTGGCACAATTGCTTTCCTGATTCCAATCCTATTTTGGTTGGAAGTTTGAACACTTAAAGCAGTGTACAATATGCCAGTCTTTTGTTTGTAATCAAATTGTCCATGTATTAAATTTAGTGTGCCTTCATTCATTTTCCAAAGTTTGCGTTCTAGGAACCCTGAATAAAAGGAGGACACATTTCCAATCTATTCAGAGATGTTATGACACACCTCTGGAGCAGGTGCGACTTGACCCAAGCCTCTGGCATAGAGTTAGAGGCATTTCTACTGTGCCACAAGGGCCTGAGAGGAAGTGACATTTAAATGTTTAAATCCAGAACACCTGGAGGCATTTGATTTGAATGGAGATCGGTTGTAAACTTTGAATTGGGGGTTATTAAGCATAAGAAAATTCCATGTCTAACGACTGGTGAGGACCCACACTTCAGCAAATCTTGATCCTTTTCACACCCATTCCTCAATTCCAAAGAGATTTCTCAGAGGCCAGAGTATCTGCCAAGATTGTACAAATATCTGAGTCACAAACTAGGCAGAACAAAGGTAGGATCTTTATGGTAGCTGGCAGTTGCCCATTGTGCTTCAAATCTGCTAAAGAAGAAACTCTAGACTCCCATTTAACTGGTGTATAATGTGATGAATTTACATGTACCATTTGTTCACCCGAAAATTTTGTTTTAAATTATAGTCTTTCTTAGCATTGTGGTAACTAACAATCTTATTGTTCAGTTTTGTGAAATATTTTAGATGTATGCGTATAACTTCAGATTTTAAAATGGTAAAAAAATTTATGAATGCTTTTTTCCAAGGCACGTTGGTACTTTATTCAGTTTGCCTCATCTTTAATGTTGTGGTACTGTATTTTTTTCAAGTGAGCAGAATGTTAATAGATGTAAGTTTAATAAGTACTAAACAAACTCCATGGGATAGAAATTGGTGAAGGCAGACATGAACTAGTTACAGGGAACAATCCACACACTAAAATAAATTGACCCTTAACCCAGCCACTATCCTTGTTTGCTATCACCTGCCTGTAATGCTCACAAAACAAAGCTTTTCATTGTACTTAGGTACGTGACAATAAATCAAATCAAATTAAAAACTAAGAATTGCAGATGCTGTAAATCCAAAACAAAAACAAATTGCTGTAAAAGCTCAGCAGGTCTGGCAGCATCTGTGAAGAGAAATCAGAGTTAATATTTTTCAGTTCCGAGGAAAGGTCACTTGATCTGAAAGGTTAACTCTGATTTCTCTCCACAGATGCTGCCAGACTTGCTGAGCTTTTCCAGCAATTTCTGTTTTGTGCCCAACCAATATTGTTTGCTCAAGTACATGCAGGTACTGGTGCTAATGCTAAATAGTCAAGTCCAAATTATGGTAAGCACTTCAATGTTACTGAAGAAAACTTCTATATTCAAAACACTGGTAAAAATTACTGGAGATAATTTTTAACGAGTGGGCTGAGTTGGATTGATATCAAAGTCCACAACCCTCCCACAGCACATTCGCTTCCTTCCTCCAAGTCATTAACATATATTTTAAACAGTGTGGTCCAGCACTGATTGATCCCAATGGAACCCCACTAGTCACCAACCTGAAAAAAAAAACCCTCTCCTCTCCTCTCTTTCTTTCCTGCCCATGAACCATTTCTCTATCCACACCAATATACTACATCCAACAGTGGACTTTAATCTTATGACTTAACATTTGCGAGGTACATTGTTGAATGCATTCTGGAAGTCCAAATATATTTACTGGTTCCCCTCTATCCACTCTGGTTGAGACATCCTTGTAAAACTGTCCTACTTTATGTTAGCAGTGTTGCAGGGGAACTGCTAACGCTTTTTTGAGTGATACTGTAGATAGTAAAAGGACTGAAACATAGAACAATACATAAATGAACTTTGTTCATTTAGAGTTAAAATGACCAAAAGAAGACTTCATATCTGATTATTTCCCAAATAATCTGTACTTATCTTCCTCACAGGATACTTCAGTGTGATAGCATTAGGGGACAAGACTTCAACAGAACTAACTTTTTAAAAAAAAAAGCATTTGAAACTGCAATTTTTTAATATATAAAAAAATTACAACACTTGATTGTTTTAGGCAGCAAATTTATTTATTTTCCCATCTGACAGACAGTTCACAAGTGCAGGTATAATTTATCAAAACATTTTAAAATTCATCCACTTAAAAGGAAAATATCTTGAATTAAAGATAGTGAACTAAGAGAAAATGCTGAGCAAATTTTGGTCCATTCACTGTCAATAAGGCAAATAATGGCTTTCGAATAGCATTAACCTTCTAACAAGATTTAATCGTGACATGGCGTCAAACAGCCATGAGTGATGAATGGATGAAGAGGCCGATAAATCACAACTCCCAGTCAATACCTGAAATTATTTAGATATCTACACATCATAAAAAGTGTGGTTTTAAAAAGTGAGTTCCCCCCCCCCCCAACCAATGTTTCTTTCCCTGCTGTCTGTGTATATTGTGAAATGCTTACCATCAATGACAGTTCTAACATTTGCTTTAAACACTGAACTGCATGTGAGTGTTGTTGCTGGTGACTTGTATGAGCTATAGTTCCGCATGTCTCCATTATATATTAAAAATACCTGTAGTCAAAAGTCTAGAAATAATTCTGCTGTTGAATTTTCAACACCATAAAACCTTGCAGATGCCAGCATATTCTTAAAGTAACAGTTTTACTTTAAAATGTCGTAGGAGGTCACCAGAGCCCAGCCTTTAATCTGGAAGAAACTTTTTTTTATTGTAGTTCTGTTTTTTTGCATCTCTTGATTCATACAGACTCGTATTCACGCTGCCAGGCAGTGTATTTCTGACAAAGATTCTTGGCAGATGGTTTGGTATGAATTATCACGTCAAGGACATCATTTGTGGAGACTGTTTCCAGTTGAAGAGTGGGTAGACTGTTTTTTCCTGAACGTAAAAGAAGTGAAAATTGTACATACTTTATCAGGAATATAGTACCCGAGCAAGTGAAAAATCATAGCCACGCTCTCCCAGTCATATCACATTCAGCTCAAATACATGATTAGATCTGAACAAAAACAAAGTTGCTGGAAAAGCTCAGCAGGTCTGGCAGCTGAGGAATCTGGTTACTGCAGTCTGAGGAAGGGCCACCGGACCCAAAACATAACCTCTGTTTTTGCCTTCACCGATGTTACCAGGCCTGCTGAGCTTTTCCAGCAACTTTGTTTTTTGTTCATAATTTACAGCATCTGCACTTCTTTCAGTTTTGATTAGATCTGAACTTGCTTGGCTAAGACATAAAATACTAATTGTTACCCTCTCTACAGAGTGCCAAACCTGCCAACTATTTCCAGCATTTTCTGTATGTTCTTCTATCCAGGGATACGAGGAATTATTTTGAGACCATCTTCTACTTGCATCCATAAACCTCCTAACATGCCATTTGAAGTCTGCTATAGCAAATTCCTTTACCCTGAATGCAGCCAACATGTTGTTCCCACCATCAGTCCCCTAACTTAGAACATAAGAACTAGGAGCAGGAGTAGGCCGTCTGGCCCTTCGATCCTCTCCGCCATTCAATAAGATCATGGCTGATCCTTTCGTGGACTCAGATCCACTTACCTGCATTCTCACCGTATCCCTTAATTCCTTTATTGTTCAAAAAAAAACTACCTTTTTTTATAAAGCGTTTAATGAAGTAGCGTCAACTACTTCACTGGGCAAGGAAGTCCCTAGATTAACAACCCTCTGGGTGAAGAAATTCCTTCAGTTCAGTCCTAAATCTGCTCCCTCTAATCTTGAGGCTATGCCCTCTTGTCCTAGCTTCACCTGCCAGTGGAAACATCCTCTCTACTTCTATCTTATCTATTCCCTTCATAATTTTACATGTTTCTATAAGATCCCCCCTCAATCTTCTGAATTCCAGTGAATATCATCCCAATCTACTCAGTCTCTCCTCATAAGCCAACCCCCTCAACTCCAGAATCAACCTACTGAACCTCCTTTGCACCCTCTCCAGTGCCAGTACATCCTTTCTCAAGTAAGGAGACCAAAACTACACACAGTACTCCAGCTGTGGCCTCACCAGCACCTTGTACAGCTGCAACATAACCTCTCTGCTTTTTATTTCAATCCCTTCAGCAATGAAGGACAAAATTCCATTTGCCTTCCTAATTACTTGTTGTACCTGCAGACCTACCTTCTGTGATTCATGCACAAGGACACCCAGGTCCCTCTGCATAGCAGCATGCTGCAACTTTTTACCATTCAAGTAATAATCCTTTTTACTATTACTCCTACCAAAATGTATGACTTCACATTTATTTACATTGTATTCCATCTGCCAGACCTTTGCCCACTCACTCAATGTATCGATGTTCCTCTGCAAAGTTTCACAGTCCTCTGCACACTTTGCTTTGCCACTCATCTTAGTGTCATCTGCAAACTTTGACACCCTACACGTGGTCCCCAGCTCCAAATCATCTATATAAATTGTAAATAATTGCGGTCCCAACACCGATCCCTGAGGCACACCACTAGTCACTGACTGCCAGCTAGAATAGCACTCATTTATCCCCACTCTTTGCTTCCTGTTAGTCAACCAAAATGCTCTATCCATGCTAATACTTTACCCTTAATGCCATGCATCCTTATCTTATGCAGTAGCCTCTTGTGCGGCACCTTGTCAAAGGCCTTTTGGAAGTCTGGGTACACCACATCCACTGGGTCCCCATTGTCCACCTTGCTCATAATGTCTTCATAGAATTCCAAAAGATTTGTCAAGCATGACCTGCCCTTCATGAACCCATGCTGCGTCTGCCCAACGGGACAATTTCTATCAAGATGCCTTGCTATTTCTTCCTTGATAATAGACTCAAGCATCTTCCCCACTACAGAGGTTAAGCTAATTGGTCTATAATTCCCCATCTTGTGTCTACTTCCCTTTTTAAACAGTTGCGTCACATTTGCTGTTTTCGAATCTGCTGGGACTGCCCCAGAGTCCAGCGAATTTTGAAAAATTACCGCCAGTGCACCTGCTATTTCTCCCGCCATCTCTTTTAGTACCCTGGGATGCATTCCATCAGGGCCAGGAGACTCATCAATCCTTAGCTCCATTAGCTTGCCCAACACTACCTCTTCCGTAATTATGATTGTTTCCAGGTCCTCACCTACCTTCGTCTCTTTGTCAATTACTGGCATGTTATTAGTGTCCTCCACTGTGAAGACCGATACAAAATACCTGTTCAATGCCTTGGCCATTTCATCATATCCCATAACTAAATTCCCCTTCTCATGCTCCAAAGGGCCAACGTTTACTTTAGCCACTCTTTTTCGTTTTATATATTTATAGAAACTTTTGCTATCTGTCTTTATATTCTGTGCTAGTTTTTTCTCATGTTCTATCTTACTTTTCCTTATAGCTCTTTTTGTGGCTTTCTGTTGACCTTTAAAGTTTTCCCAATCTTCTAGTTTCATGCTGTTTTTGGCCACTTTGTATGCCTTCTCTTTCAATTTGATAGCCTCCCTTATTTCTTTAGACACCCATGGCAGATTACCCCTTTTCTTACAGTCCTTCCTTTTCAATGGAATATACTTTTGCTGAGCACTTTGAAAGATTGCTTTGAAAGTCCTCCACTGCTCGTCAACTGTCCCACCATAAAATCTTTGTTTCCAGTCTACTTTAGCCAAGTCCTCCCTCATTCTATTGTAGTTCCCCTTGTTCAAGCACAGGACCCTCGTATTGGATTTTATCTTCACACTCTCCATCTGTATTCTAAATTCAACCATACTGTGATCACTCCTTCCAAGAGGATCCCTAACTATGAAGTCATTAATTATTCCTGTCTCATTGCACAGGACCAGGTCTAGGATAGCTTGCTCCCGCATTGGTTCCATTACATACTGTTCAAGAAAACTATCACAGGTACACTCAACGAACTCCTCCTCAAGGCTACCCTGACCGAGCTGGTTCGACCAATCTACATGTAGGTTAAAATCCCCCATGATAATTGCCGTACCATTTTTACAGGCATTAGTTATTTCTTT